TAGAGAAATAGAAAGAGGGAAAAAAATGAGAGGATTTAATGAATTAAGTAGCAGTTAGAGTGGGAAGAAAGCCTCATCATTGCTGACCATCTTCCCATCAATGGTGTAAAGAAATGGTGGAGATTGAAGTTGTGGGGGTTAGACTTAGAGTTGTATATTGAGAGAGAATTGGGACTGGGAAATGACAGCTGTTTGAAGAGAATTTGAAATTCTTGGTGATGGCCCTTCAGCCATTCTAATGACTGCATAGTAGTCACCCAATTCTGAAACATATTTTGATATGGATTTCCAAACAGTTATTTGTGCCTCTATCCAGATTTTCTAATGCAATGATTGTCTCTCTCTCTCTGTTCCTTGAGAAAATATAGGGATTAGGGTCTTCTTGTACTACTTGGATATCATACTTGACCTCTGCTAGACTCATTTCCTCCTTTTGTTCACCTCTATGATCCTGTCTCCACAGCTTGTACATACATACAAAAATCATATTTTTTTTCTCCAACTTGAATTCTTAACTTCTCATTCACTTGGATTTTATTGCAACTATCATCAAAGACCCAGCCTTATTTCATCCTTGACTCCTTGTTACATACCTGATCTACCATATCTTTGACACGTGATTAAAAGAAGAGAAATTAGGGAAAAAAGCTTACATACTTTTTACTCAAGTAATGCTCAACATCCAGATTCCAGATCAGCTGAACCAAGTTTTCTTAATGGGTTTTTTTTTTTTTTTTTCCCATTTCCTGATTCAGGGATACTGCTGTCGCTTTTACCTTGGAATTTAACTGGAGCAAGGGAGGAGAGGGCATGAATGAAATGTGGTTCTTGTGCATATTGATATTCAATTGTCATTGTATTAAATGGTTCCTATTGGTTTAAAACTAGAATTTCCATAGTATATTGAAATTCCCAATTGGGGGTTCCTTTGCATTGGACTGTCCAATATAAACCTATTATGTCACCTGGAAATTTGATAAAAGAACATATCAACCGAACACCTAAAATGTGAAGAATCAAGAACCAGTTCCAATATCCCAACTGCCTTCTCTCTCTCTCTCTTCCCCCCCCCCCCCCCCTTTCCTTTCCTTTTCCTGAAATACACGAAAACTAAAGCTTAAATAAGCTTATGTACATCAGTACTTGTTTATGTTTTTGGTATACTCCTTTTTTTCAGTACGTTCCAAATTTATGTTCAGACATTTATACATTAAATATTCATGCATTTGATGTCTGATTAAATTCATGAAATTATAGGTCTTAAGTCTCATTGGTGGAGAGAAGACTGGAAACTCTTCAGAAAAGCCTACAAAAATCGAGAGAACAGTGGTTGAGATGCCTGATCTGATAGATACGGGGTATGGTGATTTGCTTGGAGAAGAGCCCAAGGAAAGCCAAGATGAGCAATTTGTTGCAAGCAAGCCATTGTCATCCTCTCTCTTAATTGATGATTTATTTGGGGATAGTACAGGTAACGATTTGAGTAAGAGTGATCTAAGAACTGACGATGATCCATTTGCTGATGTCTCTTTTCATACGGGTGAGGACAAAGACCAGGGAAGCGACCTCTTTGCAGGGATGACTGTTGGAGAAACTTCTAGTGCTGTTGAAGCACCAAGGAATGGTGGTCCTGATCTTTTTGATATATTTGGGTCCTCAGAACCTCTGCAGACGCAAGGGAGTCACACAGACAACGTTAACAACCTAATGGCAGGCTTATCCATTAGTGGAAATGGCTCAGTGACAAATGAGAAAACAATGTACCCCACAGCATTTGCTGAATCAACATTTCCTGGTTCAAATTTGAATCCTGCTTCCCAAGGGCTAAATGATTCTCTTAGCAGTGGGTTTGATCCCCTGAAAGCTACCGCTAATGCAAATACCCTTCCTATGGGATCTATCTCATACAATATGCCTCCTGGAATGTTATATAATCAGTTTTATCCTGCAGCTCAAGTTAATTATGGTGCAATGGGTGGGTTCCTTGCTCAGCAGCAGTTTATGGCAGCTATGGCCAACTTACAGTCTATAGGTAACATGAATCCCAATAATCTTGCTGGTGGTAATTTGGCTGGAACATTGGGAGGAGATGCTTCTGCTCTTCCTGATATATTCAATGCAAACATGCCTGCTCAAGCACCTACTGTCACAATGAATGCTCCAAAAGAAGAGACAAAAGCATTTGATTTCATCACGGTAAGAGTAGTTTTATTTTGTTATTTTTTTCTTTTTGTGCTTGGTTTCTACCTTTTCCCCCTGTTTCTGTGTATACCTCTTCTTGGAGATTCTGTGTGTTTATTCTACATTTTTCATCCTCCGAAGATCAGTAGAATTCATCCTTTTGGATGATGAGATGTGAGAAGGAGTTGGGTAGCTATGCCCAACTTCTATTGTATATTCTGCCATTTGGTTTACCTCCCAAAAAACAGAGATGGATGAAAAAAGAGTCAAACCCTGCAAATTCACCTCTTTATCACAACTAATATTGTTACACACCCTTTTTATAGGAACTTGTTGAAATAGTGCACAAGCTCACTCATTCCACTACCATTTCCTTTTATACCAAGAAAACTAGCCTTTTAGGCCTCCCTCTATGACCTAGGGCCTTAGCCTGGAAAAATTCTAATACTGGAACAGAGGGCTTAAAAACCAGCCAAAACTAAGGTTACCCTTTTAGCCCTCCCTGTCTAATTTCTTTGAGCAACTTTTTTCAGAACAGGTTTTTAACAAGTGTTGCATGATTTGCGTAGCCATATATAGCTGTTCAATTGAATGCCAGAAATTTGGGAACAAATATGAGAAGTTAATATTGTGACTAGTGAAACATTTACAAGATATTGTTGTAGCCTTTACGTAGACCTTTTCATTTCCCAGTTTACCAACACAATGTCCTCTCAAGTGTTCTCTAGTCTGCTGGTGTTTTAAAACTGGCTGGCATAGGGATAGATCATAGAAAACTAAGTGTCATTACTTGGACATTGTTAAATACGGGTCTGGGCCGCACCCGTCACGGGAGAGTGTAAGTCTACCACTTTACAAGACCAAGGAGGTTCCACCTCAAAACCATATGGCAATGAGGGGAGTAGCCCCTTAGCCTTATACTGTGGTGGTAACTCTTGAATTCTTTCAATGTGGGATTTTATTACCACTACACTCCCCCTTTAGTGTTTAGTGTTTTTAGTGTGGGACAAGAGAATGCTCACATGTGGACTGTTCGTGGGCTCAACAGACATCTGTCAATACAATCCAATACTACAGGGTATTTTTAGTAAGGTTTTCTGATTTGAGTTCAAATACTTCGTATGAAAATTTTGATCTTTGAGTTATCAACAAGACGACAATCTTGTATCTTTTTGAGTCCTTAATGTGTGGCTTTTGAAAGATAATATGGATGACAGAATTGCCAATGAATTATTTTAGGGCTGCTCCAAATTTACTTATTGCACTTCCTCCATTCTCTTTTAGTTGCAATGTTAGGCAAATTGCGCTATTCATGTTCTCCTATTGGACCACCTTTGTTCATTTATTTGTGGGGCAAAATATTGTAGGAGATCTTGTTACTTCGTCTCAATTTATATTCACAACATCAAATTTACATATTTTTTACTTATGTATAATTAGAGAAATTGTTGATAAAAGCATTGGCAAGCGTGGAAGTAAAAATGTTACAACTAAAAGAGAACATAGGAAATAGTTATTTTGTTAATTATTATTAGGAATTTGGTTAACACTTCTATGCTCAACATGTTGCCTTATTTTGTTTTAGACTCCCTTGCTATCTCCTGTCAGTTACATTTTCAAGACCATTCATTATAGGATTTTTATGTTTGTTTGTAAGATACTACATACCCTTTCTCTATTATACTCCATATATTAGTTGTTCTGTGGGTAATTTAAATACTGTATGGAGATTGAAGATTTTTACTGTTACAAGAATGGTTGTCATTATGGTTCACATTTGAAATTAAGTAAATGTTTTGTGGATTTATTTTCCTTGCTTAGATTTGGTCATCTTTGTGTATCAAATTGATCAATGTGTGTTGCTTTATAATATGACAGGATCATTTGACACAAGCGCGTGATCCTAAGAGGGTATGGTAGTTCACTGATTCAAAGGGAAGACTACTGGATTCATTCAGACAAAACAATGTTGGAATCCAGATAAAAAATTTCGTGATAAAGTTGCAATGAGATAAACTTGATATTGTCAAGAATTTACTGTTACGTGTTGTAGAAGTCATAAGAGCAATACAATTTTAAAAGCGCGGGATAGAAGGATCCCTTGTCTTTGTGCAGAATTTGTAAGTTTAGAAAGGATGAGGGTGTGTTGTGCAGTTAGCTATATTTCATTGTTCGAACTTTTTTGAAGCTAGCTTCAGTTTATAATACTTGTGTATTTCTCAAAGAACGAATTCATGTAGATCTTCCAATAATTATATTGCCTTTTTTTTTTAAATTTGAGATGCCATTACAGATATTTCTTTCTTAATTTTGCACCAATTGACGATTGTAAGTCCTTCGTAAAATATTTTGTATTTGTTGACATGTATCAATATCTATCAAAATCTTTAATTATCAAAACACAAATCAATGCCTTCAATTTTTAATGGACAAAAGTGAAGAAAGGTTGATATTCAGAAAATATGCCTTGAAAGTGTGAGACGAATCTAATTTACATGACTATTTCTCGAGTATAAATCATAAACAATAAACAAGTCCACTAATAAGAAACAAAAAATGTTTGTATTCATTAGTTTGGCTTGTTAAGAATCAAATGCAGAATTATGCTCGTAGAATCCAAGGTTTCTGGTTTCCTCAATGTCAGAAAGCTACCATTTTTTACTGTACTTTCCAAAATTTGGGTGGGAAGGTTAGAATAACTTCAGCTGTGAGATTAAATGAACACAGAATTGAACAAGGGAAGAATACAGTTAGCTATGTGACTGGATGCACCCGAAACCTGTAATTCAAAAGGGGTCGAATAGGGGTAGACTGGGATCTCAAGGGTTTAACCGAGTAAATTGCTATGTTGGATGTATCCCAACAATAGAAATATAATCCATTATTTCTGGCAATAGAGGTTACATTACATGGTCTTGTTTTAGCCTTCTGAATCAAATTCTACGAGCATTGATCTAACAAAACTATCTCAGAGGGGTTCAACAATGGCCCAGCTTATGTAATAGTGCAAAAATACACCAGTGATTGGTCATAGTAAATTTCTGAACTTCCAAGAATGGGTTTCCTCATCACTTGACTGCCAACATGCATCCTCAAAATTGGCAATAATGAGTCTCTATTACTGATTATTTGTCGTTCTCCTTTCCTTCAGAATTTTCTGTTTCCTGTTCCTTACGAAACCCAAGTTCAGACAATTCTTGCTTTGCCATTAAGTTCCTGCATAGCCCCAGTTACATTCCTCAGCAAATTTCAACGAAAACAATCACCACAGATAACGGACTAGGAAGTTTTTTTTTTTTTTTTTTTTTTTTTTGGGGGGGGGGGGGGGTGGGGAGAAGAAAAAGGCAGGCAGACAAGAAACTCACTTCTCCATTCGGCATTGCAAATATTTCTTTGAAAACTCTCTACATTTTCCTGAATTATGGCCAGCAACTTTTAGACAATTAAGATACTCTTTTTTCTCCTGCAATTAAAATCCCAAACATGAATTAATTAAGCCAACACAAGATAGCTCTATATTATACAAAAGATTGAAAAGCAAGGCCCTCTAAGGAGAAGAGGCTTGAACCAGACAATCAAAGGGAAGTACCACATCGCATTCATGATCATGATCCAAAGGAAATACTCCTTTTTCCGGAGGAACTGGTCTTGCACCTCTTGACCCACCAAATGAACCACCTGTGTAGAACAACTAGCACAGTTTCATAAATAGAAAATTTCTTCCCCCTTCCCCACCCAATAAGGAAGGTTGTAAGAGGATTAAAATATCTCCTATAACATAAAGTGACATTAGCTCCATAACAATAAACATCAAGATCATCTAAATACCCATGCATCCTTATAATAACAGAACAATAGTTCCAAATTGACCTTTGATCTGGTACACATTCTCCACTGAATCTAAAATCACAATGAAAAAGAACCAGGGGCTATTCAAAGAGTCATTTAAGATTTTTGACATTCAAAAGCTAATTGGCACTCCAATCACTCCTAATAGAACCAAAGATTCATTAGACTAATTGCTCTATTCATTGTGAAAGTAACAGACAACAGTTGCCAATAGTCACACAGGCATAACCTCTCTTATCGCAAGGGTAGGACTGCATAGCCAATCCCTTCTAATCTGTTAGAGTGGTACTTTGCTTAGAACATTGGGAGTATTGATGTTCTGTATCATACTATCATCCTGAGTTAAACAGTGAATCTTTCACTGGTCAGTTAAATCATATCCCATCCATCTTTTATCATTACATGCAATAAATTATTTGTAATTAGGAATGTCTTATTGGATAATTTTCTGGTCAATTTTAAAAAATGGCCATCAGCAGAATATGTAACAGTGCACAACAGAATATCGGACAGAAAACTAGAAATTCTGATAAGCAAGCTGATTATGCAAAATTCTGAAGATACTGCTTTCTCCTGAGGAGCTCTGTGGACATATGCCAGTTCAATTTTAATCATCATTGATCATTCCTTAAATTTTGGCAAGTGGATCACAGCTGAGTAGGCCGAAGAAGAGTTAATCTCATATTTGTTGTCCAGCGTCACAAACTTGGATTCCTATATTTTCTCTTTGACAATAGGAAAAAAAAATGAAAACAAGGTCAGAAAACCTCCTAAAAGAAAAAGATTAATTAATTTTATTTCAATTTTAAGCCATCTTATCCTTTAAATACTATAGAGTCCTTAATCATATGCACAATGCATATACAGCTTTACAGGTACTCAACTCTTGGGTGTCCAATGTCTCTATCCCCTTATTCCCTATTTATAGGCTTGTCAGAGCATTCTATATCATCCGAACCTATCAAAACCTATTCATACTGACCCTAGCGAAACAGACTGTGGCTCTGAATCTTGAATTGCATATTAAAGTGAATCTTTACAATTTCACTATCTCTAATTAATATCAAATGTTCATCATCGATAACTGAATTTATCCACAAAAGAAAAGAGAAAGGCATCTCCGCCCGCCAGGAAAAAAAAAAAAAAAACTATTAAATCTTCAAGATATAAAATACAATGCAGAAATTATTTCTAGTTTTCCGATTTCCATTCAATTTCTTTCAGTTCCTTCTGAAATATAAATGGTGCAAGCCTTTCTGGACCAACACCTCAAAGGAAAAACAAAAAACCAACACATACTACCAAAAAAAATTTATCGATACCTGCATGCATTTCAAGACCAACACCTAAAAGGAAAAAACTATAAACCAGCACATAGCACCACATTTTTTTTTTTATCAATACCTGCATCCCAATACCATTCATATAACCTAGTTTAGGCAAACAAATAACATGCTAATGAATAGACTATAGGGGAAATTAGAAGAAAGTGAAGTATATATCAGGTTTTCATTTCATCTCTCTGAATTTTCAAGATCAAAAGAAGTTACTAAGCCATAGCAAAATGAAGAGCTTGTATCAAAAAGTAACATGGAAAGCAAAACAAGGTGATTCGTACCAGCACTCATCTTGTTCTCTTGTTATTCTGCAACTGGCCAAATTGCGTCCTTCTTCTAGTCTGAAACTCCTCGCAATGAACAGTGATAAAATTACAAATGAGGGACTGATAATAATAAAAATTAAAATCAGGGAAGATTAAACGAACAGAGAATTGAACCACAACACAACATAATGTTAACTCAGAATGTCTTTATCCTTCAATTTCCCCATGATGAAAAGATTTTCATAGTTCAAGTTAGGTTAATTTTACTTTTCTTAAACAGCTGTATTAGTCACATCATGACATAAGCCATCACATTCCACATGACACAATAATATGCTGTTAATCAAATCTCAAAATACACACTAATAAATTAATAGCACCTTTAACTCAAACTACGCAATCATTCCGCATACAAGAACAAGACACTACTAAGTTTTAAGCACCAATTAATCTACAAGTACATATCTAAAACACTAAGTTATAGTAGAAGTTTTAAACCCACATTTCGGACCTAAACCTTAGGCAAAGTTTGGCTTAACTTTTCTATCTTCTCCAACTTATTCCCTATATTCTCAGTTTCTCACTATCCAACAGACCAACACCATCACGGTACCGGCATCGGCAACAATACTACCACCATCTCCCTATTTATTCCAAACTCACAATCCCACATCAACCAACCTAATCTGATGATCATCCACCAAAGCAGAAATTAATCTCCCCATTGACCCGAGAGCCACCGAGAATAACTCAATTTGATCCTACACCAATTCTAATTGTATCATTCAAATAAACCTCAAACTCCAAAATCTAATTTTTCTTTCTCCACTTCCATCAATTACATCGGAAACATCAACAATTACCAGTTGTAATACAAGAATCAAGCCACTATTTACAAATTACCACAAAAGACAGCAACTTTGAACACATTTAACCAAAGCAAATGAATTTGAAAATTACCCATTTGAATGATCGACTTAATTAAAGGAAATTAATAGTTAACAATGCAAAAAAAGTCAGAATTCTAATCTCTAAAATTAAAAATTTCCCCATAACAAACTTCACCCATAAAAAACCCAGAAAAAGAAATTCAATAAAAAATCCAATAATCTCAAATATTATGAAAAATATTAAATGAATTAACAAAATTACAGCAAACCACAACACGATTGTACAAAGCTAGTAATTCACTAGTAAACTTTTGATTAATGATTAAAGAACATAAAGTGTTGAAAACGAAATTAAGGGAAAATATTAAAAATTACCAAGTGGGTGAGCTTGAAATATTCCGGCGATCGTCGAGAAAGAATAGATGAAGAGTTTTGATATTTTGGGTTACTACTACTCCGTACTAGTTAGGTAATTTGCTTAATTAGCAATTACTTCTGGCCTCTTCGCTACTTGTTTCCCAAGCCACGGTTTTTTTTTTTTTTTTTTTTTTTTTTTTTTTTTTTTTTTTTTATTTTTTTTTTTACTTTGAACTTGCTTTGGAGGGGGAATGCTAGGTTTTCTCTTTGTATGGTTTAAGCTTGGCGAAACTGATCCGGTCCAAATTGACTTCATTCGGAAAATCCGACTCACATTTGTATAGTCCAGAGTAATAGAAATAGATGAATAGAAATTGAAGTTGGTCCGATTCATTACGAAGACTACTAAAATATATTTTATACTCTATCACGCCCCCTTGAAAGTGGGGGGTGAATGAAATTCAAACCCGTGACCTTTATGTCACAATGGCTCCGATACCATGTTAGAGGACCAACTCAACCAAAAGTTTAAGCTGATGGTTGAGGCTCAGAAATATATTTTATACTCTATCAAATTGAATTATAATTTTATTCAAAAAATAATTACATTATAACTCTCATAAATTATCATATAATTTTATTTTTTGTATTATAATTTTTCTTGGAGCGAAGGAATTAGTTCAAAATGTACCACATCTATTATTTATAATATATTCTAATCAATTAAAATAACAATACTTCAAAATCTAATATAATTTTATTATTATGTGTAAACCTACCTATCATCGGGTCGGATCACGAGTCATTTCGGACAGGGTCATTATTTCAGGTTACGGGTCAAGAAATGTTTTCACCAATATTATTATTATTAGTCATTACATGCCTACTACATAGTTTAAATTGTCACAAAATTATAACACATAATTTCCTAACTAATTTGTATCAATGATATGTTTTAAAATTTGACATATAGATTAATAATTAATCTTAAAATTCAATAAACAATTCAGGCATCGCACGGGCACAAAACTAGTAAGTATATATAAAGCCCAATTATAGGAAAAGTTATGGGAAAGCACTTCAAAAAAAAGAAAAAAAATGGCATTCAAGTGAAACCTTGGGTTCCAACTTCCAACCTTCATTGTTTATAAATACATTACGTCTATGAACAATTTATCCAGGCCAGAACTTTAGATACATGGACAAAATTGGCAAAATGATCATATCTAATCTACCTCCTTAAAATCAACATTCCTTCTGATTTTCAGAAGAATCAGAACTGACTATGCTGGTGCTCCTATTAATTTACCTACACTTACACTCTACTATACAAATTTTAATAAAAGTATAAAAAAAAAAAAAAATTTAAAAAAAAAAAGTATGATTCGTGTTTGATTTATATGTTGCTCTTCATTCACTGCAATTACTTAATTGTTCTGCAAGAAGTTTAGCAGCTTCGCGATGTAATGGTAAGCTTGTCTCAGAAAAACCAAAAGCACTTGTTTTTGCTTGTGCAACTATGCTGGTTACAAGTTTGACTCTAACTCTTGGGTTGTTGAACTATAATCATAGTAGATTTCTTGGTGCTTCTTCCATTGGGGAGAGAAGTTGCCTAGGCCAAAAGCACAAAATGGTAAGACTTGGTTCATTAAACTCACTAACAGAAAAGCAAAATTAAAAAAATGAAGTTGATGTATAAAGGTGAATAAATAACAGCAAGTTGTTGAATGTTAGCAAACAGTAAATATAATACTCATCATAGTAATTAGTAAGTACTTACCACTCCAATGTGCCATTTTTGATCGCAAAAATCGTTGTAGGTAGAAGCATCCATCACCTGCGAAAAACAAAAGATTTAGAGACTTGTTTGCATAAAAGACCAATGCAAAGTGCTAATTTGATTTAATGTTTAATTTTTTTGTGACCAGTACTTGTCATTTTCACTTTGCTTATAACACAAACTATAGTTGTGACATCTATCAAATTTGTAAAGACCACAATTTTGCTGATATACAAACAATTTAGAAATCAGTTTGGTAGCAGAGAGCTTACAACAGTATAAATTGGAGGAACTGTTAGTCCTCCTTGAGACTTCTCTGTCGGTATAACAGAAAAGCGTGGAGCCAAATCTTGTGAGCGGAATGTCCACCTGCAAAGGCATTGATGAGATTTCCTCTACAAACATTAAGTTATCCATGAAAACCAAAAATGCACCTTTTGCAGGATAAGAAAGCTAAATAGATTCATACCCTATGTATAAGAAAATGCAATATTGTGCCCATTCTCGAACCAGCAGCCTGATCCAGTAAGTCTCTGGAGAATCATCCACATTTATGTATATCTGAAATGGCAAAATAGTTAATTTACTCGTATGATACACAGACTTCAAAGTTCCAAAAATCACAGCAGGGTCAAGAAGGCATACCGCTGCTTCTGCTAAAGCTACCAGCTGCATTGCCACCCGAAATTTCCTGTAATGCAGAACATAACAGCAACCAGTTAAGTAAAGGAAGCGAACACTGGCAAAATTGCTTTATGATAGAAAATAGTGATACACTCTTCACTAAGAAATGCAAAGAAAGAAACATCGGTATTGTGATGATGAGGCCTATTATTTAGGGACAAAGGAAGTTACAGAGTTACAGCCACATACTTGAACATGACATATTTTGAACGCACTGCATCATGCATAGCACGAACATCATCATCTTCTATAACACTAAGCTGCTCTCTCAGAGACAGCAAGTTCTGAGATATATGGTGGAAGATCACCGAAAATGAAATGAAGTAGTTGAGCAGCAAAAGAGCCTGAACCAAATCAAGCCAACAATTCATCATCAAAATGTAGTTTAAAAAACCTATGTAGAATCGTTAAAAAAACAATGCAAATCAAGATGCTGTAAATAAAGTACTTACAGTAAAATATGGTACAGAAGCTCTATAACCAACTAGAGTCAGGTAAAATATACACCCAAGTGCAGCTGTAGTCCGTCTCTCATATAATGACAGATGCTCGCACAGGATGCAGTAACCATGAGCAATGAGCAGGAAGGACACAAAAGAAGCTGTCTGAAAGAGGACTCCGGTTACATACACCCCAAAGGACATCCATAGAGAACACACTTCGGAATAAAAGCAAGAATACCTGCATATACATAAACAATTCGGATGAAACGTGTGATCATCAATTATAGTACAGTACTGCAGACCTGCAGTTATGCAAAAATGATTCAGAAAACTTTGTAGCATCCATTTTGCGTGTAAAGTTCCTTGAATCTAATCAAACTTCCCACATTAGGCAGGAAGATTATCAAATTCTTCATACAAATTCAACTCAAGGAGTAGGCCAGGAAGATGCAAACTTCTTATAACTTTCATCAGTTAATTCGTTTGGAAATCGTTTTAGTAGCAACAATTTCACAACTAGAGAGTTTATACATTCATTGATTCTTACAGCAAATCACCATGGTATATGCATTAGTCCATTATATCTTCGGTACCGATAAACACATTAACATTTGCTTGCTTCTTTTACCAAGTGAAAAGGCTTAGGTGCTCATATATTTACCTTGGAAAGTTAGAATCTATATATATGTATTCAATGTGTTTATAATCTGAATGTAGAAATTTATTCATCCAGAGATATAATCAGTAACATGTTGAGGAAAATCAAAATTAGAAAATAAAATTTAATTAAAATTCTAAGAAAGGGATTGAAACATACCAAAAGAGGAATGATAGCATAAGCTGCAGTGTTTTAATTAATGGAACTGATGCCAACGTCCATTGCAGATTATTATTCTGTTATTATCATAATTCAAACAAAAAATGAAAATCAGAGAAACAAAGAGAAACTAAATAACATGCAAAAAAAAATTAAAAAATTTAAAAATGAAAATCCTCCCACATGATTAATCAAGCTTCAACTACTCTACCCCAAAACTCAAAACAATCCATATTGCATGACTTTTTCCGTTTAGAACAAATTCACCAATAACTCCAAATTAAAAAAATACAAACAGCAAAAAAATCAGAGCTTTAATTAACTTCCTAAAAACATTTTTAAAACTTTATAGTTTGTCAATCAAAAAAAATTGAAGTGGGTTACTCCAAAACAAACCTACCAATTAGAACTATCAAAAACTAAACCGACCTGACTTGACATGACGACATAACTAACAACTTAACCTGACCCTACATAACTCGATTAAACATGAGTTCATGACCCAACCCAAATAAAAAAATAAAACACCCGAATTGACAGCTCTACGCGAACACGTAAAATCAAATGCAACAAAAAAAAGGCAAGAAAAGAACCTGAAGATGGCGGTTTCGCCAGGTGAGAAAAGCCCAGGAAAGACTAGAAACAAACCAAACGGAAGACAAAGTAAAATAAAGAGAAGGAAGAGGACGATATGATTCATTAACACCCCAAGACATGTTGCTAACTTGATGCATTTGAATTTGCAAATGTTACAAAGTTTGAAAAGGGATTTGGGATTAATTAATATAAATACAAGTGTATAATTTATTAAGTAGACTTGTATTTGAAATGGATTAAGGAAAGAAAAAGGAGTTGTCAAAAAAAAAAGGAAAGAAAAAGGATTGTGTAAGGCACTATTAAAAAAACATAAAAGGAGGGAGTCACGTCTTGTTAATTAAAGGTTGGTATGACTTGTAGACATGTTGTAGTAGTGTATGTCCCTTAAATAGGTGCATCAACTCCACCTTCAACTAACCATATTGTACAAGGATTTGGAACATTGTTTTATGACTTTTGAGGTATTTTGTCTTGTTTTCGATATTAAATTTGTGTATCTTGTTTATCTTGGGTGAAATTTTTGGAAATTACTTGTATTAGTTAATAAAAAAAATATATAACTTTTTTTTTTTTTATAAAAAATACATCCAATTGTCAAACTAGGTTGGTGCCCCTTATGATGTCCGGGTTAAAATGTCAAGTGTTGATGTCTCGTGTTCTGGCAAAATTTAACTAAATATATAACAAATTTTAGCACATAAATATAAATATAAAAACATCATTTTAAAAAATTCAAATAAATCGTACATCCCCTCGTCATCTAGTTTATCCAATTTTTTTATCCTAATAAATAAAAAATATATTTACAAAAATCCTATGTGTCAAACTAACATTTAATCTTGTAAAAAAAAAAAACTAATATTTAATTGTTACCTATGTGGCGCGACACTAGACGAATAGTTGAAACGTCAAATATCTCTGCGTTGTGACCTTTTTAGATTTATATATTAGTTCTATAATATGATATGTATATCCTTCACACTAAGGAGTTGTTCTCATTGACTAAAATGAACTAAACTGAATTGAAATGAATATTTTATTAGAGAAGGAAATTAGGAGCTGAAATAAAATGAACTAAACTGAAAATAATCGTATTAAAATAAGCACTAAATATTTTTCATTTTATGCTCGTCCAAAAATAATGATTTATACTAGTTCTAGCCGTAGATGCTCAATTATTTTATTGCAGCATGTAAAGATATTCTGATAATCTAATCCAATATAATCACATACACGTTGACCCATCCAATTAATTAGATATTATCCAATAATTATCTGGCTATGCTTAGAACAGGTAAATTCTACAGTATTTAATTATTATTTTTTTGGAAAAAAAAAATAATAAAACTACCAAACTTTTGTTATTTTATTAGGTTAATTTAATTATGTTGTTATTATAGAAATCAAACATACAAAGATGGTGAACCATGTTTGTAGGATAGATGCTCTTGAATGAAGTCGTCACGTATAACAAAATCACTTTCTCTTTTATTTTTTCCAACTAATTGTACATCATTTACTTGAAAAGTATGAGACAAAGCCACGCAAATATGAAATTCATGAAACATATGATCGGAAATAAGCAACATTTACTACATCATCAAAAGAGTTCCTCACTTTTAATATAAAATAAATGAATGTTATCTTCAAAGCAATAAGAGTTGGGAATACTCCTTAGACCGTGTATTACTCGTACTATTGTACAGTTACATGCAAGATACTCCCTTGTTTGAAATTAGATTTTCACTTATTTGAATTTTCAGATTGAACTTAAACATCTCGAATGAGTTAAAGTAAGGTGAAAAAATTAAACAAAGCAGGAATGATACAAAGCCCTAACTAGCTAACCCTGTTACATCAAGTATCAATGTGAATGATATTCGATGTCCCTCCTTGTGAAATTGATTTAAGCATGAGCCAAAATTATTTTCCTTTCGAGGGTGTTGGGAGGGTGTTGGAGGGGAGGGATCAAGCTAAGGAGAGGGGCCGGGGAACGTTTTGCATTGTTGAGTCATCATTACAAGTGGTGCTATTCAAAACAAAAATAATTTTAATCATAAACCATTATTTTATAGTGGAAATAATCGAAAATTCTACAGTAAATGACGCGTACTGCTATGTACCACTAAAGCAACGTACCGCAATGTACCACTAATAAATTTAATAAAATATATTATTTATTTTTTGCATTTTTTAAACACAAGTTGACTTTAGCTAAGATGGTGATGAATTGCATTATCACTTTGATTAGCAGTTCAAGGATCAAATCTTTGTGATCACCATATTTTTTTTCTTTCTCATATTTTTAATTTTTTTTTTATTTATTTCACATCATACAACCTCTATAGATTACTCTTAGGACTACTTTATATATAAAAAACACTTATCAATTTTGGATCCTTCTCAATTTATTAGTTCTATTTTTTTCCCTCTAGACTACATTCAAAAAGAAATATCAAATACTTGTTTGATTTATTTGACATCATACACTCTATTTAGATTATTTGTAGAACTACTTTATATACAAAAATACTTATCAATTTTGAATCTTTATCAATTTATTAGAACTAGAAATAAACACTAAAACATAAAATTATTAACTTTGATGTCAGGTCAATCATCATAAACTAAAATTAATAAATAAAAAAAAAATACGATGTACTGTGCAAAATGTAGTCGATCATTTAGCAAGATTTCTACCTCTTGCTACACAAAATATAAGATGCTAGGTATAATAAAGTGGCAGTTGTGTTTTTAACATCATCTCCTTCACCATTAATTATATACACTACTGTAATTAATTAAATCAGGGTTTGCAGAAATTGAATTAACATTAACAATATAAAAAAAGAAAAAAGAAAAAAAAAAAGAGGAGAATCACGAGGGAGAAGAAGAAGATAACCTAACAAATGTGTGTTGATCGAGAATTCGAGATTAAGGTTACGTTTTTCTTTTTAAAACTAAAATTAGGGTTACATTTCAGGTTAATAAAAAGACAGATTGATATTGAAAAAAACTAATAAATTACATCAATTGAATCTTTAAATTATAGATGTGGAATAAAGTTGTCCCCAAATTACAATTTACTTCAAGCTTTAATTGTGATGAATGAAAATAAGCGAAGGAGAAAAAAATTGAAGAACATGAAAATAAAATAATCAGAGTTAAGTGTTTTTTTAATTATAATTTGCCTATATATAATTTAGCAATGCATAGTAGTACATAACGTTTATAGTAAATAGCGGTATTTGTCATGTACTGTAGACTCTCCCGGAAATAATACATTAACCTTTTGATAACATCATAAAAATAATAAGTATTTTGATCCATATATTTAGTTAGTTTAGAAATAAAACTTTTTCTCTATTTCTAAAAGTTTGACTCACTTGACTTACTGCACTATTTTCAATATATACATTATCTTATTATATATACTTCGTATTAATCGTATATATAAGCCTTCAATTACATTTAAGTGAAATTTTTTTAAAAAAATTGTTAAACTTTTAAGAGATTCAAGCACACATCTGACACATGCTAAAATTTTCTTTTATATAAATTATGAAATACAACCAGAGTTATTCTATTAAAAATAGTAATTGAGTTAATATTTAAAAAACAGATATAAGAGCACTCACAGCAGTGAGGAGAAAAGCCCTCACGAGTAAAAATAAGGGTGTAAAAAAAATACCCAAGCATTACGTTAGTGAGGGAAAAAACCCTCACCGTTGAGAGCTATGGAAAACGCACAAGAGTTGAGGGGAAATACTCGTGAACAGTAACAAGTGGGCCCCACTCGTACACGCGTGTTCGCTTTTTTTTCCCTTCTGGCTTGCAAAACGACGTCGTTTTGCCTTAAAGAAGGGCGAAACGACGCCGTTTTGAGGGGCAAAAAGGGAAAAAAAAATAGGGGGCAGCTGGTCTGACGCGCGTCAGACCCAGCCAATGGGGATGCGACACGCGTCAGGCTTTATCCTTCCAACCAATCAGATTTTTTTGCTTTTATTACAACGGTTATATTTTTGTAAGTTAAATATAACCGTTGTAATTATAAAAAAAAAAAAAAACAAAATTCACCAACGGATAGATTTTTTTTTTCTCTATAAATAGACATGCATTTTGATATATTTTGATATACTTTCAAAAAACCTATAAATACTACAAATTTCCTTCTTTTCCCAATTTCTTTGAGTTATTTTCATCATTTTTATTATTATTATTATTCGTAAAAAAAAAAAAAAAAACCTCAGTTATTATTTAGTATTATTATTATTATTATTATTATTATTATTATTATTATAATTATTATTATTATTACTAGTAGTAGTAGTAGTAGTGTTAATTTAAAAAAAGTAGTAGTTTTATTGCTATTCTTATAATTATTATTATTATTATTATTATTATTATTATTATTATTATTAATTTCTTTATTATTATTTCTGTTAAATTTATTAATCCTTGAAAAAAATCGTTTTATTATATTGTCAAAAAAAATTAGTAGTATTATTATTATTATTGTTATTATTATTATTATTATTATTATTATTATTATTATTATTATCATTATTATTATTATTATTATTATTATTATCATTATTATTATTATTATTATTATTTTGCTAATGGATCCTAACAAACCAGATTTTTCTAATTATTTTTCTGATTTGGGTGATGATTTTGTCACTAACCCTCGATTTCAAACCTTCCTTCAACGAATAGCTACTCAATATCCACCGCAACAAACACCTCCTCAATTTCCACCACAACAAACACCTCCTCAATTTCCACCACCACATTCACCTCCTGTTTATCAAGGGAGCAATTCTCAATATGAAGATGAAATGGAAGAAAGTGTTCCAGATACTCCACAATACCCTCCACCTCCTCCAAGAGTGTCTGTCAATCAAAACCAACCACTTACAAAAGGGAGTCGAATGTGGTCTGTTGCGGAGGATGAAACTCTTATTGGTTTGTATCTGCAATTCAGTGAAGATGCAATTGTTGGTACAAACCAAAAAGCATCTGTGCTTTGGAGAAAAATTTCAGCGGCATATGATGAAGCGCAGGCTGAGAAACCTCACATTCTACCACCAAGACCTTTGAGGAGTTTGGAAAGTCGTTGGAGAAGGATGGCAGCTGATTTAATACAATGGAGTAGCTGCTATGACGAAGCAGGAAGGGTTACAGGAAGTGGCTACAACGAAGCAGATCGAATTAATAACGCCAGTAAGTTATTCTATGCTTCCTCCAAGCCTACTCAACATAATTTTAATTGTCACCATGGTTGGGAAATGGTTAAAAATGACCCAAAGTGGAGGACAAAACTTAGGTGGGCATTGTCAAGAGAGGAAAGATTAGTTGTAGGTGATGCCGTCGAAGATGATAGTAGTGGCAGTGATAAGCGATGTAGAACCGTAGAGGAAGGTGATACACCATCCACGGGTTTCTGTTCTGGAGGTCTTCCTCGACCCGATGGTGTTAAAAAGGCAAAGGCCAAGCGTAATAAGGGAAAAGAAGTGGCTTCTGATTCTTCAACCATTGGTGAGCAAATGAAGCAGAATAATGCCTGTAGGGAAACAGAGGCACAAATACGGTTG